ATTCTTTAAGATAATGTTTTATATAATGACTTTAAATGTGAATAAATAATAATAATAATAATAGTAATAATTTAAATTACCTAATAATGAAAATTTAATATTTAGATAATGTAAATTTAATAGATAATTAAAATAATAATTAATTAAAATTTTGTAATATGAATACTAAAGTTATTTATAGTTATTTTAGGCTTTTAAATTAAGACAAATCAAATAACAAGTTAAACTACATTGAGGGGAATACTTATGTTCTTATACTATAGTAATATTTTATTTCTTCTAGACCAAATATATTTATCGGTACTATCTTTAGTTATATTGACATTGTTGAATACTTATGTTTCTCGAATTTGGAACACTTAAAATGACCAAAATGAGTGAAATCCTTTCCTAAGATGCCTTGGAAGGTAGTTTATAGTCCGTTGGGGTTATATTTGGTGTGGAGATTAAGTTTGAAGCACCAATATAGCCAATGTAGGCGATGAAAAAACCAATTTGAGAATAGATTATTGAACTTTAAGGGTATGTTTGGGGCAGCTGCAACTTATTGATAATCTGCTGATAAGTTGATTAAAAATAATCTGCTGATAAGCTAGATGCGGTGACTATTACAAATTTTTATTTTTTTTGAAAAAGTCAGACCGCTGTCAAAAAGTTGTCACCACATCTAGATAGGTGCGGTGTGAAAACGTTGTTTTCAGCTTTTTCAAAACGCATAAACTGTCAAAACACAGTTTACCCAAACAGGTCAGGTGCTTTTTCAAAACGTCACTGCATCAAATAAGCTGCCTCAAACGGACCCTAAAAGGATTGTGGATATTTGGGACAACTCTAGCACTTGAAATTAAGTGAAAAAGTTTTGAATTTGAGCCTGACAATGATATGGAAATTTTAAAATTTTTTGAAAATTTATAGATATTTTTTTTGGTGTTTTATAATGATGTCGGGTACACAAACTCTAACCTGATTGAATGAATTATAGTTAATTTAGGAATCTCATGGTATGATAATAGGCAAAAAAAACACAAGGAAAACTTTGGAATTATGAGAAATTATAGGAAGATTGGATTTGAAACAAAGTAGGAAACTTTGATGCGTTTTATTCTCTTCTTATTTATGTTTATTTCAATTTATTTCTGAATTATTTCCTTTCTTGTTGGTGGCTTCTCCTTGCCAATCAGACTCCATATGTAATAGTCTATGTAGATGATTTTGATAGGTGATTATGAGAAAGAGATTGAGAAGATTAAAAAGGTTATTGCCACAAAATTTGAAATCAAGGATTTAGAAGCTATGAAATACTTTATGGGCATGAAAGTGGTCAGGTCAAAGATGAGAATTGTGATATCTGAAAGGAAGTACATCCTAGACCCACTAAAAGAAAAGATACCAGTGGAAAATTATTAATAACAAAATTGGTAGGAAAGTTTATCTACTTGTCACATTTGCTTTGAGAATTTGTAAAGGAATATGGATCCAAAGGGTACTATATGAGTTGGCATACTCCATGATAAATTACATCAAGATGTTCTATGACAGCAAGCTGTCATCAATATTGCCAGGAATTCCATGCATCATGACAAGACCAAATTCTTTGAGATTGATTGTCATTTTATCTCTCAAAATGTCAATAGTGACATTATTTATTTGATCTACATTCCAACTTATGTTCAAGTTTCTGATGCTTTCACTAAAGTTCTCACTCCAGACAGTTTTACTGAGTTGAATACCAAGCTAGGTCTTTACAACTTATATGACCCAACTTGAGGGGAGTGTTGTATTTTAAATATATATAGGAAGATTTGATTGGAAACAATCTAGGAAACTCTTTGATAGGTTTTATTCTCTTTTTATTTATGTTTATTTTAATTTATTTTTGAATTATTTCCTTTATATGTTTAGAGTAGATATATTTGGTAAGTTCGTAATTTAGGAGGGAATTGTTGCCCTATTTATGTAACCTCATAGTTGAAGATTGTAAATAATTCTCTTCCTATGTTTTCTTCAAAAAACACTTGTTCATGGTAGCCAGATATCTTAAGGACATTTTTTTACGTTTTTCACAGTAATTTAAAGGAGTTTAAGGTTTCCAATTGATCACTTCGATAAGATTAGGTCTTGTTGTAGTAAGTGTTTAATTGACAGCCTTAAATGTGTTAGGCCTAAGATTTAATTATCTAAAAATATTAAAAATTAACAACAACATAGGGAAAAAGTAGTAGAAGGACACTACAACAAGAAATAAGCAGTTTTTATAACAAAATGATTCTCTAAACACTCACCAAATTAATTAGTTGAAAATGATCACCAAACCTCTTTCCATGTTAGGCCTACCACTAAACCGATCCCTTCAAGCTTTTCTCACTGAAAATATTCTGCAATAACATTGAACTCTTTTTTTTTTTTCATTCAATCAATCTGATATAAAATTTCTACAATAAGTTAATTCAAAAAATACAAAGTAGAGAGAAGATATGAGGATTGGACAAGTGCACAGATGAAAAGGAGAGAATGATTACACAAGTATAACCACTCACAATCACCCTATAAAAAAGTTATGATTAGTCACTCTATGTGAAAATTATTTACTTAAATAATATTAATGTTAAATAATCAATTTCTATTGGTTTTAAATCATTCTTCCGTGATAATTGAGAATCGAAAGGAATTAAAATTCTCAATCTAAAATAAATGTTTACAAACATTTATTACAAATACATAAGCTTTCACATGAAGTTCATAAAATTTAAATTCTAATAAATTCCTCTAAGTAAAGGTCTTCATTCTACTCTTAATTAGTTTTTAGATCTCCTTGGTTAGTTGCATTCTCTTTAGATTGAGCCCTAGTGATTAATTAGTCTTTTGTTCATACGATTGGCATCTAATACCGCATCGAACTCTTCTTACGAATGTTATGTTTTAATAATCAATTGAAACCGTTCTAGGGCTCCTAAAAGGTATTTAGGAAGGGGATTTAGTGAGTAGCTGATTGTGGCATAGCAAAGGATGATAATGGGGCAATCAATGACGTTTGGAGGGAGATAAACGACGTTCAATGGTTATACTAGCTGAAAATAAGAAATATATCATCAAAATGACGATGAATGATTGTCAAGGAGGTTCATCACTTGTTTCTGCACATGCTACAAACACACCGCTTGCAAATGAAAAATGACACTACACTCCATTAGGGTAGAAATTAGAGATATTATCTCTAAAACACACAAATCAAATAAAAGGTCTCCCAAAATAATAGAAGAAACACATAAATAACCTACTAGTAGATGTATCCAAATTAGTAAATAGACAAATTTCAAAGAACCAAAAAAGAAAGAAAATAAAAGAAAAAAATGATAAAATTAAAAATCAGTGACTTATGTTCAAATTTGAGATTGCGAGATCCTAGATTCTATGTATCGTGGGGTTATAAACGATCGGAATCGCTGTTATGTATAAAAACTCGCTCCACAATCAGAATCACGATATTACGTGAAAACTGCTTCCATTTCATTCTCCCCGAGTAGGAGATGTTTCTTCTTTTCTAAAGGGAATTGAATCCCAATGTCGGATGATATTTCCTATAAAATAACTAAAAGAATTTTTAAATTTGTTGTTCATCACTTCTGTCCGATCATCTGTTTGTGAGTGCGTTGTTGAATTAAACTAAAGCTTTGTGCCCAACTTGCCTACCAAAGCCCTCCAAAAAGGGCCAAGGAATTCCACATCTCTATCTAAATTAATGTTTTTGGGCATACCATGAAGATGAACTACCTCCTCGAAGTATGTATATAAGATGTGACGTGTCCGTTGTCTTGTGGCATGGAGCCAACTATGCTATCTAGAAAAAATGGTCTTCAATAATGAGAATCATTACCTTGATGCGTCTAAGGCAACTCTACTGCAAAATCCATGCTCATGTTATTACAGGCAATTCTAAAACATATTCATTATTCCAAAGACTATTCCGAGAGAATAAATATCCATCTTTTTTTGGCACAACCAAAAGTGGAGCTGCACATAGGCCAGCCTTCACACGTACCAAGTTTTGGGCCATTAAATATGTGACGTGCTTCTTCCACTTCCCATGCTCTCTTGGACGCATCAAATAACTAAGTTTATCTAGAGGAAATAACTCTATATTGAAATATCTTTTCTAATATCAGCTTTTCGAAGTCTTTGTTTTCTAAAACAACCAATGGTAATCAACTTCATGACTACGAGCAATTTTTCTGGTGTAGAGTATCCATTTATAAGAGTGGCATAGAGTTTCTTTTGTAGAACTGTACCAACAAAGCATACTTGTTATTTCTTAGTTTTGAAATTCTCTAGTTGTGTTATTTGCAAATAGCTGCATTTAGGGAAAACAAATCTCATTGTCTCTCATCTTCCAGCTATTTTTCCAATCCCAAGTAAGCATTATCGCCTCATAGTTGTTGCAGTAGTGCCTATTTTCATTTCTATAGGAAGCATTTCTAAAAATTGACATTGTTCGGATGAGCGCGGATAGATATTGGAGAAGTACAATATGAGTATGTTCTCCTATTTATGTGGAAGGAATGAGTAGATGATGCAATGAATGTTCCTATTAAATGAATGTAGAATATATAATATATTAGATAAATGGCTCTTAAATTTATAGAGTTGCATCTGCACATTGTTCAAGTATCAAAATTCAACTACATTCTGAAATATCATTTAGTAGTTTTTATTTATGATAGGTTTCATTAGAATATTTAATGTTTTTGGCATGTTTGTTTCCTGAATACTAGAGCGACAGTAGCGTTTTTGAGCTATGTTTTAAGTAATATCTTCGACTTATGTTAAGATAGACAGAGGTAGACCTAGAGACTCCTAGGAAGATTTGGGCTTATTGTATAAAAAATGATCTTAATTTATTAGAACTAAATGAAAATATGACACTAAATAGGATGCAATGGAGAAAAAGGATTCATGTAGCCGACCCCACGTAGTGGGATCAAGGCTTTGTTGTTGTTGTTGTTGTATAGTATACTGCACTACATGATTAATGCGCTTGATATTATAATTTATGTTGTGTTTTCTGGCAAATTGATAGAATGCTCAAGCATCTTGTAGGAGGACATCAAGCTCATGAGTGATACTGGACTGGAGGCTTATAGATTATCTATCTCTTGGCCAAGGCTCCTCCCAAGTATGCAATGCATCAATACAGCTAGAATTTCCTTTTTCATGTCTTATATAAATGCTGATAATGCCCGTATTTTTCTTCAATCTACCTGAAAAATGATATTCAGCGATTGAGTTTGTAAAGCTCAGGTTTACAACCATGACCAACTTGTTTTCCTAAAACGGTAATATTAGCATTGGTATTTATGAAATTTACTTCTAAAATATTCTTTGTTATGTTTGTCTGGATAAACTATAATTTCAATCAGTTAATAATGCATAGGCATCCGTATTGTTGTTTTCGGAAGTTTTATCTAGTAATTCTCAATATATTATAAAAAAGTGCCAATTTGAGATACTTGTTCTCTTCCTTTTGAAATTTATTGCTATTATTAAGTTTGAACTTGTGCATGCAGTCAAAAACAAGAAAATTGGTCGGCATTACTAATGAGTATCAATCGTTCGTATTTGTATAAAATGTTCAGAAATTGCACATAATTTGATGCTTTTCTGTATCACAGGCTTAAATAATATTATAGTTAACTTTGGGAAAATCATCTAATATGGAACACTGAAGAAAGCTGAACTTTGAAACTTACATTTTATTAATGATTAAGCAAATGTGTACGTTTCTAAGGATGAGTACTAAAACATCCTGTTATTTTTTATAAAAAATAGCTACCTTTTTATTGAAAAGAATTAAACTTGGATATTATACTGCAGATGGGAGAGGAACAGTGAATCCTAAAGGCTTGGAGTATTACAACAATGTCATTGATGAATTGATAAAGTATGGTATGATGATATATTTAACTTTGATTTCATTTTATTAATCAAGGTGGATTGCAGTGAACGGCTATTGCTACTAAAATAAGACTTGATAGTTGTTTCCAGTCATGCCAAATTCCAATCCAAAATAATTGTGCTTTGCATTCAAAATTAGTATAAGTATCATGGCTCTTTCATTGATCATAAATCTCCATTTTAAGTCTTGAGGTTCTCATTGTAACTTCCAGTTCAAAATTCTTTTTTTTTTCTCCTCCTGAAATGAAATAGGAATTCAGCCCCATGTAACCTTGCATCATCTGGATGTTCCTCAAGTGCTTCAAGATGAGTATGGAGGATGGCTGAGCCCAAAAATCATGTAAATATCTGGATTTGTTTTGCATAATTATATAATGAAAAGAATGAGGCACACCCATGTTTCTAAATTGATTGATGATGTTTCACAGTGATGATTTCAAAGAACTAGCTGATGTGTGCTTTAAAGAGTTTGGCGATAGGGTTTCCTATTGGACCACATTGAATGAGCCCAACATCAATGCTTTAGCCTCCTTTGATTATGGTTTTTTTCCTCCTCAACGTTGTTCATATCCTTTTGGAGTTAATTGTACAGGAGGCGATTCCACAGTGGAGCCATATATTACTGTTCATAATTACATCTTGGCTCATTCTGCAGCGGTTGAGCTGTACAGAACAAAGTATCAGGCAAGTCATTATTTCGTTTAATTGCTTACCAAGATAATGAAAATATTTTGTCCTAAAAAAATTGATTGGCAAATTTTTTAAAAGTAAACATAACAAATTGCATGTTTTAACGTTTTCTTTAATATCAATACTTTCCACTGTGGATTGATCTTTTCATTGGTGTTTAATTTTAGTGACAGAACAGTACAGCGGGAAGTGGGAAACCATATTTTACTCCAATATTTGACAGGGTTAATTTTAAAGTGGCATAAATTTGTACAATGTAATTGGAGTCGGCCATAGTGAGGAATCTGTTAAACCCAAGAATGGTAAGTTACACTTCCACGTTATAGCGTGGCAACATTAAAATTTTGCAAGCCTTTGAAACCAAATGAAATTATTCTTTCGAATGGCCTAATTGAAATCTAGAAAATTTCAAAAAAGTTTAATGTGTTTAGATAAAAATCTTGATTTGTAAATATGACTAAGTCCCTTCAAACTTTAGCTTTGGCCTTGTTGAGTAGTTTAGGATTATGGTTTTGGGTCAGTCACTTAGGGTTAAGGAAAAGTAGCGAAAATACTTGTAGATGGGAGAAGCACTTTTGATGATTGGATATAAAGTTTTTGAAGATTTTGAAAGGATTTAAGGCTAACAAATAGGATTTAGAACTAGACTAGGTCTGGTTCCTTCACCAAATTAGTTGACCACTCTTATGGGATTTTGATTGAACCTTTGACCACTCTTTAGCAAAATTATTTATTAGTTATAGAGGAGAAAGTAAAAGAAGAGCAAAATAAGAAACATTAGGGTTTTTATAGAGATAAGATAAGCTAGTTACTTATCAAAATGACTAGCTACAAGAGATCATCAAATCTCTTTTCATGGTTAGGCTAGTCACCAAGTTAATTCTTTGCATTTTTCTGACTCAAAATATAATCACTAAAACATCAAACTCTGCTTTTTCATTTCAATAACTAAAAATAACAATTTTACAACAAGATAATTGTAAAATGACAAAAGACCGGAAGTGCAGAGGGCCAAGTGTGTGGATGAGGAGGGGTAGTTAGTTTTGTATAATCACTCACTTGTACCCTCCAAATGACATATGGCCGATTTCTCTTGACTAGCAAATGATCAATTGATACTTTTGATTATCAATATATCATTTTCTATGAAAGTTATATGCTTTTCCTCTCATATATTCAAAAAGTCAATTTTCAAATTAAGAAATTTGAATTTCCAAAAGTCAATATTTCCAAATTTGAAATTCATATTTTTCAAAATTACAAATGTTTTTAAGTACATTACAACACCTAAACTTAAGCAACACTCACTGCACTAATAAGATAAGAACCCAAAATTTTATTGTCTTTTATTTGATTAAGCTCCATCTTCTCGCTTTGTGCTCTAGTGATTGGTCCATTTTTTTCTTGCATTGCAATCTTGTGCCACATAATTTTTATTTGCTGCCTAGCCATTATGCATAATAGACAACTCTATGGCCCTAACATGCAGCTAAATCCAATGAGCCAACTATTGCAAAGGGAGAAAAGCATAAATAAATTCTTTATATTCATTGGGAGTTTTAGGTGGGAAAACAAAATAATTGCATATATTTTTAGTCTGTTCCTGATTGGGAGGAGAGAACAAGAAAGTGAACATAGAATCTTTGTTAATCTCATCCCCATAGCGGACCTCGAATCCTAATCATGGATTGAATTTCCTTGTCTCACCACTATCACTGGCTGTGTTGGTGATGATAACAAGAATGGCCTAAAAGGAAGATCCGTCGAACTTTTTTTAGTACAAATTGGTGAGGGTGAAAAGGACAAACTTGTGAGTATATTTGCTAATGTGAGAAATTTTTAAAACTTGTGTTGAAGATAGCATCAGGGGGGATTTGGCCTTGTCTGGAATGCAATATGCTTTTATTCATTTATCGGTCGGACAGTTTGCTTCTTATCAATAATTTGGTGATGGCAATACTCTCTCCTATTTCTGTTCGACTTGAGAGAGAAATAAATTGCTTCATATCGTAGTAAGTTATCCCTTATTTTTATTTTTTTTAAATTCTATTGACTTCAGACATTATAAATACAGTTTCTTCTGAATTTATTATTTTTGCCCAATGTTAATCCAACTCAACAAAGGTGGAAAGAAAGCAATGAACAGACAATCACCAGTAACATGGAAAAGCACATTAAAGTTCTATTCGGTGATGAAAGTCTATTGTTTTGCTAATCATGTGTACCATATGAAACTTTCATGAATATTTTTACATCAGTCCATCTTTCGATCACATATAGATGATGTGCAATGATGATTAGGAAATGGCATTCAATATTTGGCCAGCCATTGATATAAATATATTGTAGTGTACCACATCTTGATTAATTTAAGATTACTATTGTTCTTTTGCAATCAGAGCATACAAAAAGGACAAATTGGAATCAACATCTATTCTGTTGGGTTTACACCATTGACAAATTCTACCGAAGATGTTATGGCAACAAAGAGAGCAGTTGACTTCATACTAGGCTGGTGAGTTAATTTTTTTACTTTTTGTGCACGTGTACATTTGCTCGCTTGCAGTTGCGTTAATTCTTGAAATTTGAACTTGATGCTAGAATTTGTATATGAATGCATGTATGCATGTTTGGGGACATACCCTAACTTACATATCTTTGATGAAAAGCTTGTTATCCTTGCAAATAATCATCAAGTCTCATTTTTTGTAATAGTAAGAGAGCTTTTTGTAAATGAAAGTTGATTTCTTTTGAATTCAAACAATTTCAGCTTCGATCAACTACATCCTTGTTTTCATAATTGATGGTACACATTTTTTTCTTAATGCCTTAATATCTTTATTACATGAATTTTAGAATAAGTTCAGGGGTTTGATAAGTGGACGTTTTTAACATAAATGACTGTTGGGCAGGCATGTCATCATAACATTATGCAGCATTATTCATTTGATTAAAACCAATTTTTTAATATAGTATCTTTCTTACAAATAAGAGTGGGCCGTCTTACGACAACACTTCCGTTTGCAGACTCTAATTGTATGCGCGCTTTATCTGTCAATGCATACCCCTGTAATTGTACCAACATTTGTAAATGGCGGTCATTTTTCAGGATATTTAACCCAATTATGTTTGGAGACTACCCTGAGAGCATGAAAAAAAATGCAGGCTCTCGGCTCCCATCTTTCAGTTATTCAGAATCTCAAAAAGTGAAGGGATCATTTGACTTCATTGGTATTAACTATTACTTCGCAGTGTTTGTGGCTGACAACCCTGGTATTACCAAGACAGATCTTCGAGATGCGAGTTCTGACATGTTTGCTATGTTCACAGGTTAGTTTTGCTTTTTAAGTTATTTCTCATTGACTAAAGATAGCATTGGATTTTGGAAATTCACATACAATTCTATTTCAGCCTTCAAGGATGTTCCACCAGAAAGTCGGGTAAGATTTCATCAATCAGCCATTTTTACTCTAGTTGCTTTTTATTCATTCTCCTATTAAGTTATATGGTGGGATAACTAATAACATTTTTAAATCCAGCTCCTTCCACCTCGTGAATTGATTGATGATTTTGAAAGCCTTTGGAAACTGCTGACTTATATCAAAAGCACGTACAAAAATCCTCCAATTTACATTCACGAGAATGGTAAGTCCACATTAAGCTATAGAATAACGCTTTTGCAGTTATAACATATTAAATTTAGAAGATAAAGATGAAGTCTTTGTTTAAGCTTAAACTCTATTATTGTGCCGTTAAATTTATTTCTATGCATCTGTTTAGGTTATGGTTTGGGAGTTGTCGACACAATGAATGATGTACGAAGGGCTTCTTTTCTAGGCGGTTTCATCGGAAGCATACTTGATTCTATCAGGTGACTTAACAACCTTATATACTTGGGAAAAAAAAAACAGAATATTATATTATCATCATTAACCTTATCCCAACTGTTTTGGATAACTTCATTGAAACCTTTTTTTATTCATTTACATTGTGCATTGTATGAGTAAATCTTATTTCAAGCAATTTCTTTTTGGAAAATATTTTTACATTCTACTTTGTTTCCATGAAGTAATAGGTTTATTTTGTCTGCATCGCTCACAGGGATGGAGTAGATGCGAGAGGATACTTTGTTTGGACATTTGTAGATGCTTTTGAGTTGCTTGCTGGATATAAATCACGATTTGGGCTATACCATGTGAATTTTGAGGGCAGTGAACTTGAGAGAACGCCAAAGCATTCTGCTTATTGTTACCAAAACTTTCTCAAAAATGGGGCAGCAATAATAGAGAATAGTGGTAAGCACTGGGAATAAGCTCATCCTTCAGAATAAATGTTCCAGCTTCTGCTTTAATGTCTTTTTACCTTGGAAAAATAGACTGAAGCATAGTGATTGTTGACATTAAATCTTTTCTTAGGCTAAGTTCTTGTGATATGCTATTTGATCTGATAGGCACCACAGCATTTCCTAAGGCAATTGAAAACTTACTATTATGCTAGAGTTCATTAAAAAAAAATCCAGATAAATGCTTAAAGCTTTTATGCAGCTTTTGAAGGTGTTGGTTAGCTTAGTTTCATTGTGTTTGACCTTGGAAGCTATTTTTTCATATCAAGTGCTAGTTATTGGTGTAAAAATGTTCTCATTAGTTTAGACTTGTTTAATTAATGACGAAAATATGACCTGATTGGGAGAGTAGATATTTTAGATTCGACTTATGTTAAGAAAGGTAGAGTTACGCCTAAGAAGACCTGGGCATGTTATATAAAAGATGATCTTAATTTACTAAAATTATATGAAAATATGAAACTCAATCGGACACAATGGAGAAAAAAGAATCATGTAGCCAAGACCACTTAGTGGGATTACTAAATCTGATTATGAGGAGAATTTATTCCGTCATTGCTCGCAAGTTTCATATCCGCTGCATATTGAATTTGATAAATTTGTATTTATCAAATTTACTAGATTTGATAAATCATATTTAATGTAAATCTAAGTTGCATCCAAACCCATGTAAGGGTTCAAAGTTCATGCTGCCTACAAATCTTAGAGAAGATAGTCTTATAATTTTTCAAAAATTATGTGTGCATCAGTCCTGAAGCATTTCTTCTGGTAATGATACTTTCAAAAGCATTAAGATGTCACTTTGCCTAAGCTGCTGCATAGATTGACACTAATCTTTAATGTAACATAGCAGGGCAAACTGCCTCTAAATTTTTTTTTAAAAAAAAAGTCTTGTTTCTCCTTAAGAAATGGCTGTTTACAAGTAACAGTGAATGATTTGAAAAGCTTTTGCAGAAATGTTGTGGGCGTATACGGCTACATATCACGTACAGACTTAAGCCACTGCATTTGATTCTACTTTTGTGTTGGAGGTGATTCTGATTTTAGAATTTGAGCTGCCATCATTATCTGAAGCCTTAAGTCCACATACTGGGAATTTTCTTAGGGCACGTCGTTATGTCCATATAGCCTAAAAAATATTAGGTCATCTGGAGTCTATTAGTGTGTCGCCATGTGTCAAATAGGCCCCACAAATTTTAACTCTTGTGGTGGCCCACTTGACACGTAGCGACCTACCGTTGGACTGCGGATGCAAATTGTGTCTGAAGTCCGGATGTAATGTTTGCTCCCAATAATAGCTCGATTTGACTTTAAATGTTTGTCGACATGGGTAGGCTCCTTTAATATAAGAGTTGTATCCTATCTACTTGTTGACGGTGATGGATCTTATCCAATGTGATGCAAGGGTTTTTTTGCATGGTATTGATAGAATCGCTAGATGGGTAGTGACATAAAAGTGTATAGAATGCAGGTTGAAACATAAAGGCTTTAGAAGGCAAAGTTTTTATTGGAGAAAATGAATGAGAAATTTCGGATCAAAATGTTGGGGATGTTAAGCGATTAATTGTAATGACAAACCAAAGTTTCAAATTATTAAGGCGAGAAGATAAGAACAGATGAAAGAATTCAAATTTCATGTACTAGCATTAGCTGATACCCAAAAAAATTAATAATTATTTTGAATTTTTTTTCTAATAATGACAACTAATAAATTTTAAATTCAATTAAAGGCTAAACAAGTCTATTATACATAATATCATTCCCTTGGGTGTCCATGTCTAACTAATATTGATTCTCTTCTTCCAATTTTTTTTTATCTAGAGATTTTATCCTAATTAGTATTAATTTAAATGATAGTTTTGGGTAGTTAATGACTAAATTGATATGTCAAATCTCTAAATTATAATAGCATAAAGGAGAAGAGAAACATGTATGTTGATTAAATTAATTACATTGGTATAAAATTAATAAAAAAAATTATTGCAACTATGAAATTGTGCTAAATCATGAATATTCAATAACACAAGTAGAAGTAAATCATATCTCATCTATTCTACCATTATTGAATTCTAAATTGTCCTAGTGAGCACGCCCTGAGAGTTTAGAGTATGAAATAAGAAAAGATAAGTGAAAATGTTTTTCCTTCTTTAATTTTATGCCAACAATAATATTAAAACATCTAAATTAAAAATATTTGTGTGTGTGTGTCTATATATATACGCTCACAGGGATGGAG